CACTTGAACCACTCCAACAGCCCTGTTTTGTGTTGGGTATTTTCAAGATAGGGTCTGTTGAACTATTTGCCAGGGCTGGTCTCAAACCTGGATCCTTCTGATTTCTGCTTCCTGAGTAGCTAGGATTACAGGCATGAGCCACTGGCACCTAGCTGAATACATACATTTTTTTTTCCCCTTTGTCAGGCTATCAGGATGTAGCAAATTATGCTGAAGCGACCTGTCATTTCTACAGCAAAAGCCTGGTTTTTTGCTGCTTCTGAAATATTTAAATAGATTTTTGAGGCCAAGGTTAACCAACATTAATAGCATTGGGGTTGCCTAATCAATTTTCTATTAGGTTTCTTACTTTTAAGCTTTCCTAAACTTACTAATAAGCTTGACCTTGAAGTCTTAAACTTCATCTTAAAGTCAACTCCCCACCACCACCTTGTGGTACTGGGGATTGAACACAGGGCCTCACGCTCTACAGCTTGAGCCATGCCCCAGCCATTTTGTTTTGATTTTTGGTTTTGAGATTGAGTGGTGCTAACTTTGCCCTGGCTGACCTCAAACTCTAAATCCTCCTGCTTCTACCTTCCGTGTAGCTGGGATTACAGCTACACTGAGTAATTATTAAAGGAGTAGTTCATGCTACATTATTAATATGAAACAGCAAGTGGATTCTTCTTTGAACTATCAACAGCACGTGCTTCCGGGGCCATTTCCACTTAAGTGAATTTGTCTTCTTCCGATCATCAACAAGAGTGTCTTGTGGCACTAGGTCTCAGCTTCAGCATTGTGGATATCCAAGACCAAGTGGAGACTAGGATGTAAATTTACTGCTCAGAAGATATGCAAACCTGCAGAGATTTCCCCTTGTAAGCCACATAGTTCAAAAGAAGGATTTTGGTATTCCTTGAGCCAAGAAAAGTGCTTTTCACTTTCTATGTGTCTTATTTTCATGAGAGATAAAGCAGTGCTAAAAGTTAAGGTTTAGTCTTGGGCTACTTAAATATATTTTTATTATATAAAAATCAAATATGTGGCTTAATAATTCATACAGTAAATACTGTCTAGGTCAAGAATAGATGTATAACCAGGTATGGATGGCTCACGCCTGTAATCCTAGCTACTCAGGAGGCAGAGATCAAGAGAATTGGTTCAAAGCCAGCCTAGGCAAGTGGTTCAAGAGACCCTATCTCAAAAATACCCAACGCAAAAAAGGGCTGATGGAGTGGCTCAAGTGGTAGAGTGTCTGTCTAGCAAGTGTGAGGCCCTGAGTTCAAACCTCAGTATGGCACCAAAAACAAAGAACGAGGCTGGCCACCCTAGGAGCCCCTTTACTGAGTTCTGTCCCAGTAATAGCCCCTCTCCCAACAAGAGACACTAGTGTCCTGACGTTTCTAGTAATAACTCCCTTTTATTTTCTTTTTATACTTTTATCACCCAAATGTGCACTTCTAGGCACTATGGTTAGCCTGGCCCATTTTTTAGAACTGTGTGTATAGATGTGATTTTCTTAGAACAAGCAGAAGAGAAAAAATTTTGAAGGAAAATTTCCACCTAAGAGCTGGGCTTCGTGGTGTGCATCTATAGCCCAGCACTCGGCAGGCTGAGGCAGGAGGTTCACCTGAGCCCAGGAATTTTAGACCAGCACCGGTAACATAGCAAGACCCTGTCAATAAGTAAATGAATGAATGAATAAAAGGCATTTTAAATATTTACATTATATAGTAGAACAAGTAAGAGAAGTGACCTCTAAATATATTTTGGCTTTATATACATTTGCAGAATTATAGTCTTACTTTAGGGAAAGATTAGCATTGATGACCAAAGTAAAACATCATATAACTTGTTCAGAAGAACCCACTTATGTTAGTCAGTTTAACTACCTGAGAAAACAACCTAATAGAGGAAGGATGTATTTTGGCTCACAGTTTGAGGTCCATGATCAGTTGGCTCTGTTGCTCCTGGGCCACTCATGATGAGGCAGAACATCATGGTGTGAGTCAGGCATAATGGGACACTCTCGTAATCCTACGTCACGAAGGCTGGGGTAGCAGAGTTGTGAGTTTGAAGCCAGCCTGGGTTATATAGCAAGATCCTGCCTCAAAAAATAAAACAAATGTGGTGGTAAGCAAATGGTGAAGCAAAGTGCCTCATCTCATGACATTCAGAAAGCAGTAACAAAAGGAACCAGGGGAAAGACATACCCTTCCAGGTCATACCTCCAGTGTCTTGCTTCCTCCAACCAGGCCCCAACTCCTAGTTTCCACTATCTCCCAATAACCATCAAATGGACTGGGGCGGGGGTGTGCCACAAAAAAGAAAATAATGCCATCAAGTCATTAATCCACCAATGAGGTTAGCTTCCTAATAATCCAGTCACTTCCTAAAAGCCCATCAGCTGGCAACCAGGCCTTTAACACATGAGCCTTTGAGAGACATTTTAGATTCAAACCATAACACCATTTGTTGGTGGTTTGGCATTTGGTAAATGTCATAAAGTGACTAAGAACTTAGAAATCATTACTTGTATTTTCATATGTTTTCACTTTGGAGATACCCTAAAGATGCAATTTTTCTTCATATTCCCTTATTTTGGGACTATTTAAGAAATAAAAGTTTGTGAAAGTTGAAATGAAAAACTCATAGTTATGATTTTCAAAACCTCTTATGTTTCATGTTACCAGTGTGGAAACTGACTTTCTGAAGTGTTCTGTTTGAGGTCAGTGTTTAGTTCCATGTTCTTGTAGTATTGTACAGTGCACTGCATGAGGAGAGAGTGCATATTTGCTGCTGCCAGTAATGTTAAGTAACTATGCAACAGACAGGCACTGAGAATCTAGCCCTGCCCTCAGGGAGCATACAGCCTGGGAAGAGACTTCTGAAGATTCTAGGTCACAGCTAACTTACGCCTAACATGGACATTTAGTTTGTTCATTTGTGTTTAAACTGGCTTTCTTCAGGCATTGAGGTGGGAGATATACTTGGCAAAATGGCACACTGTATCATCATTTTGCTGCCATTCCTCATATTGTACTTTTCCTCCAAGGTTTTAGCTTTTGGTAAATTGGTCACCTGTGGCAGTTCTCCCCCAGGTGATCGGGAAAGCTGTCTGTGGGAACAGGTTAAGTGTATGGTGGGAGTTGATTGACAGTGAATCATAACAAAGCTTTTAAATTTAATTCAAACAATTAAAGGTCCTTGATTTGGTTTATCTTAATAATAAAATATGCATGAAAAACAGTAAAGGGCCAAGGGACCATCAGTAATTAAGTTGGCACACAGTGGAGTAGGCTGGGAATTTAGGAAGATATATTCTTTAATTTTTTTCCAGTGCCGAGGATTGGACCCAGATCCTTGAACATGCTAACATGCTAGGCCGGCACTCTACTACTGAGCAACATGTATCTCCAATCCTAGTAAGATAAGTCCTTTAAAAGGTTACTGCAATTAGTAGAAGACTTTTTGAAGGCAATTAAGCAAGATAAAATAAGTTTTGCTGTGCTGTGTTCGTTATCTGGTGTTTGTGTCTCACGTCCACTTTTGTCATGCTACATTTACTGTAAAAAAAATTTGTTTTGCTAGTAATAGGGCTTAATCTTAGGGCTTGGCACTTGCTAGGCCCTACAACCTGAGCCATGCTTCCAGCCCAAATATTTTTCTTTTTATAATTTTATTTTATCATTTTTACATTTGCTCACATGTGTATACATTGTTTGGGACACCTCTCCCCTGGCTTCCCCCTCCCCAAATATTTTTCCTCAAATTGATTTCCAAACACAAATAATACACCTAAGGAAAATCAGGTGTATTACCTAATTACCTTAAATAGTGAATATTTTATTGCATTTAAGAAGAAATGAATATTATGTGATTCTGGCTAATATTTGTCTGATCTTTGTTAAAAGCAGTGAAGAGATTGCCCCATTAGACTTAATAGCTTAAAAAAAAAAGACCTTAAAAGATATGAGAGCCAGGCACCGATGGTTCATGCCTGTAATCCTAGCTACTCGGGAGGCAGAGTTCAGGAGGATCATACTTTGAAGCCAGCCCAGGCAAATAGTTTGTGAGACCCTCTCTCGAAAATACCCAACATGAAAAAGGACTGGCGGAGTGGCTCAAGTGGTAGTGCACCTGCCTAGCGAACATGAGGCCCTGGGTTCAAGCTCTGGTACCCCCCCCCCAAAAAAAAAGAGGAGGACATGAATTCTTCCCTGACCTTCTTTTCTTGAACCTTTAATGCCATCTGTTAAGTATGCCTGGATGATGATAATGGGGTTATTGTGAGTTTGGGATAGGGCAGGAGCTGCCTGGGGCAGGTGATCCTGATACCATGTTCTCATCTAGGCTGTCATTCAGTGCCATACCTGAAATTACCTCCTGAACCACTAGTGACACCCACTTCATCCTTGTGAGGCACAAATTATAAAAGCCAAGGGTACAAAGACAAGCCTAGCTGTTTTCATCTACCATACTCTTGCCCTTAATAACCCTCTCTGATCTTCACACCCAGCAGAGGAGAGAGATGTGTGCACAGCTGCTTCAGACCGTGCTGTGGGCTGCCTGACACATGTTAATGCTGTATCCTGTAGTGCCTGCTCCTTTTGCTAGAAGTGGCCCTGTCCAGCACTTAAACAGGTTGTCATCACAATTAACTATTGGGGCTGGTGTACCAGGTACTGGGAAACCCAGGGAAGGACTGCAGCCATGGACTCTCCCTCTGCTAGGTGAACGATAATGATGTCACTTGTTAACGACTTGTTGAGGGTTCAAGAGTTAATACATGTGCCTAGCTCAGTGTACCTGGAAAGTTTTTATTATTGGAGACATGTTTGTCTCCAATAATATGTGTATGAGTAAAACAATCTTTTTTCACTATTTTGATGTCATTTAAGACTCACAGAAGTTGCAAAAATAATACTGAGGGCTCCTGTGTTTGCAATGATTGTTTATACATTGTTTTAATATCTAAATAACATGGTATTTCCTTGGAATTTTTTTGTTTGCTTTAGTGTTATCTTCGCTTATAACTGGTGAAGAATGGGAGAGATAGAAGGAACATACAGAGTCCTACAGACTGCAGGGACACGCTTGGGTGCCCAGACCGTTGTGGGAGTGAGCACCCTAGAGCTGGGGCAGACACTGTCACCCAGAATGCAAGAGAAGCACCTGCACATCAGAGTGAAGCTGCTGGACAACACTGTGGAAACATTCGACATTGAGGTAGGAAGCATGATTTTCTAAAGGTCAAGTAGTATACACCAAATTCCCTTTCGCTGTCTTGAGTTTGCATATTTATCAGTTTTACCAAGAGTGACTTTGGTAAACACACAGCAAAATCCTTAGTAACAGTGAATCTGAGTTGTTCTTTAGTTTGAGAAGTGGTATTCTCTTAACCTTCACCTAAAACTCTGAAAAGATGCAGTCTTTCCACTCTTTTGAGAGGCTGGCTAAGAGGACAGCTGCAGAGCATGAACTGCAGCTACTTCGCTCCTACCTAGAGTGTCCCCTCAGCCACCTGGATGCTGGGTGCCTGGCCACTGTGTGAGGGGTGCAGCTTGGTCTCAGTGTGTGTCAGCATCCTTGTCTGAATCACAGATGCAATTCCTCCTCAGTGTGGCTGTTGTGAAGATTGAACAAGCACCATACAGACAACCTGACATGCAGAAGGTGTTGCATAGTGTTAGTTTATAACTTATTTTTCCAGGTCAACAATAATAAAATTTTGGGACTGGAGGCAAGAGCCTGCTTAGTAAGCACAAAGCTCTGAATTCAAACCTCAGTACCACCTAGAAAATAAATGGAAAGATAAAATTTTTATTTTAAAAAAGTTCGCTAAAATTCAAGGGCTTATCTGTAGTCCTAGCTACTACTCAACCTGGAGGATCACTTAAGCCCAAAAGCTCAAGGCCAACTTGGGCAACATAACTAGACTCTCTGGCAAAAATAAGTGTTTTTCCCAGTGGTGAATTGTGCTGCGAATGTTGGCAAAAATAGTTGAACATAATTAAAATATATGTATACATCAATATTTAAGTAACTCTACTTTTTAGACAGATATGATCTATTAGAAAAATTATTCTTAGGGTAGGCATGGAAGTGCATGTCTGTAATACCAGCTACTTAAGAGACAGATAGGAGGATCTCAAGCTGAGGCTGACCCAGGCAAAAAGTACAAGATCCTATCTGAAAAATCAGTTAAAGTGAAAAAGGCTGGGGGTGTGGAACAAGTGTTAGAGGGCTTGCTTAACAAGCACAAGGCCCTGGGTTCAAACCCCAGGACCTCAAAAAAAAAATGTTTTTCTTCTTCTCTTTAAGTGATGTTAGGACAAGTGTTTTTTTTTCATGTATAATACATGAATCCATTCTCTTTTGTTCAAATATTTGTATATTGATTTAAAGTAATATCTTTAGACACTTTTTTTTTTTTGTGATACCCGGGGATGGAACCCAGTGCCTCACACATGCTGGGCAATCATTCATCCATTGATCTACATCCCCAGCCCATCTCTTCCTACTCAGTGTCACAGAAGTCAGAACAAGAGAAAAATCTTAACATCTAGCAGGAAGTTTGTTTGTACTTGGATTTCTGTTCAGGAGTCAAGATGCTATGCAGGAAATAAGATAGCCAAACTGTGGGCAAGGCTGTGAGTGGTGTCTTACTGTAGTGTGTGTGGGGCAGTGAGCACAGGGGACAGAGGAGGACCATGTCCTGAGGAGGGTGGAGAAGCAGCCCAGGTGTCATCCTTCTTGGAGTCCTGGGAAGAGTGGCTCCTCCCTGAGTGTTGGAGATGACAGGTATCTGGTGCTGGAGTTCTGAACTCCAGCACCATGTGCTTTCCTTAAGGCCTTATCCAAGGAGGTAGCCAAGCATCATTGGGGCACAGGTTACTTCTAGAGTCACCCTGTTCTGAGGAAGGTCAGCTAAAATTGGGCAACCTTTGAACCCTGGAAAGCTGGCATTGGTTGCTCCTCTACCAACTCTTAGTTGACTCTTTGGGAATTTAACTGGGGCCCAATTCTTTTTTTCTAGTCAAATATTAGGAGGAATTTTCACTATGCAGCCATGCTGTGCTGTGGCAGATGCACTTGTGAAGTCTAGGTTTGTAACAGGTTCAACATTAAAAATTTTTTAAAAGGTAAAGGGAAAATACTCTACCTAGTGTTTGTTTTTAAGGTTTTTTTTTTAATCCAGCCTAATGGTCTTTATTAATTAAAACTAAGACCCAAAGAGAAAAAGCATACATTTGTTAATGAATCATAAATGCTATGTAATCAATCCTCTGAGAAATTCACTGGGTCATTTTATACCTAAGGAAATCAGATATACCATTTTCCGAAGATTTCAAAGTATTTAAAGCTTCTCATTGTTTCAGTAAGCCAAGAGTATTATTGTTTCTCTTGTAATCTAAGCTACTTGGGAGGTAGAGATAGGAAGATAGTGGCTTAAGGCCAGCCTGAGTTTAAAAAAAAAAAAAAGTTAGCGAGACCCTGTCTCAAGCCAGATATGTTGGTGCACATCTGTAATCCCAGCTACAAAGTGAGGCATAGGTAGGAGGAGGATCGTGGTCTGAGGCTAGTACAGGCAAAAAGCAGGAGACCCTCTTTGAAAAATAACTAAAGCCAAAAGGGCTGGGTTATGGCTCAAGTGGTAAAGTGCCTGCCTGTCAAGCACAAGGCCCTAAATTCAACCCCAACACCACCAAACATGATAATAATAATCATAGTAATTCCCACATACCTGTTGTTGGTTTTTAGTTCTGGGATAGGCTGGCTAGGAAGGGCTGAGTGGCCTAGCAGGAATGTAGTGTCTGGAAGTAAGGCTGTGACAGTTGTGTCTGGTATCAGCCAATTGAACTTATATGGGGGCCTGTTCTTAAGTGGGTGTAGCCACCCTTCCTGGAAGTGTCCCCCAACAGAGGCAGGTTTGCCTGGCTTCTTTCTCTCCACTGTCTCCTGTGAACCACAGATCTCCAGATCTCAGCTGGTTCCTGACACAGTCCCCCATCCTATTCTTCTATGATTATTCTCTTTCACTGCTCTCCTCCTTATATTTGAACCAAAAGACAGCCTGAAGTCAGTAGTTTTTCTGTTGAACCTATGGACTGGTACTGACTCGGGGCTACAGGGCAGTGGTTAGTGCATTGAGAGCCTGACTGGGTGGGTCAATCTCAGGCCAACTCAGAATCCCAGAGTGTGCTTGTTGTCTCTCTTCCTGGAGGCCAGAGGCCTGTGTCTTCATTGTTGGGCATAGCACCTTGATTAGAAAATGGGTCTTTTTTTTTTTTTTTTTTTTTTTTTTTTGATACTGGGGCTTGAACTCAGGGCCTACACCTTGAGCCACTCCACCAGCCCTTTTTTGTGTTAGGTGTTTGTGAGATAGGGTCTCGTGAACTATTTGCCCAGCCTGGCTTTGAGCTGTGATCCTCCTGATCTTTGCCTCCTGAGTAGCTAAGTGTGAATCACTGGCACCCAGCCCTATGTTTTTTCAGGTTTGTTTGGTTTTTTGTTTTTTTTGGGTTTTTTGCATTTAAATCTTAAGCAGTAGTAGTTTTCTAGGGAGATGTGCTAATATTACACTTGGAAAATATCAGCTTCTATGCACAGATCACAGATGGTTATAAAACACTTGTATTTTTCTGGGATTGAGCAGAATCCCCTAGTTGATACTGAAAGTTTATATTTAAAAGACCTTTTTAACTTAGGAAAGAATTTGACATTTAGTAGGTTTTTTTTTTTTTTTTTTTTTTTTTTTTTGCTGTGGTAAAAATACAGAGTGGCCTGATGCCCTCTGGGCCCAGGCTCATGTCTGTCTGTTCATGTGGAGTACTATGCTTCCTGTCTGGGGTCTGTCTTCATGTAAGACAGTCTTGCTGCCCTCATCACGGTGTCCTCAGAAAGATGAGCTCTGAAGTCCCAGTTCCTGTCTCCCCAAGAATATAAGGTGTCTTCTGTCAAGGCAGATCGTCTCAACAATGGCAAGTGATTCGAGAGCAAAATCTGCTGGCAAAGAAGAGGGGGGTCGACCAAGCACAGAGGAATGCTTTGTTTTGGCTCTTCCTGATGTATACCTGTTTGATTTTGCACCCCTCTGTCAAGGTGGTTTGAAGCTAGAAGTTAGGGTCCACTTTTTCATGTTTAATAGTTTTGGACAGTAAAGTGGAGCTGAAAACAGCTTTATAGAGATATAATTCACATATCATACAATACATCCATTTATAAGTGTATAATTCTAGAAAGTCAGCATGCGTTTTTAGTTCAAAGTTTCTCTAGTGTTTTCATGGAGGAAATACAAACTAAAATTAACTGTTTCATTATCCCTTAAACATGAATATTTGGACTGTGCCCTGTTCACCTTAGGAAATTCTTTTGCCCTTGCTCTGTTTTGAGCTTAAACTTCTTGTTTTGTTTTGCTTACTTTTGTTGTTTTACTTTGGCTAATTAGTTATATAACCAGTAAGAAATTTATATGGAATTAAAAATAAATATTGCAGGAAAAAGTGTATAATTCAGTGCTATTTAATAATCATAGAAATATCCAACTGTTCTTTTGCTTATTATCTTTTGAAATCTCATCCATGTTGTGACATGTGTTAGCTCTTCTTTCTTTTCCATGACTGAATGAATAAATAGTCCATTGTACCAATATACAGTTTTGTGTTTATCCATTCCTCAGTTGATGGACATTTGGATTGTTCCCACCTTTTGGCTAATGTAAATAATGCTTCTGTGAACATTCCTGTCCAAGTTTCTGTATGGATGTATAGTTTTACTTCTCTGGGGATATACCCAGAAGTGGAATTGCTAGATCCTATGGTAACTCTAAGGCCTAATTATTAGGGGAAGCCGAGACTTTTCCAAATAGTGGCACCATTTTACATTCCCACCAGCAATGTTGGGAGGAAGGTGTACTGATTTCTTCACTTTTTTTTTTTTTTTTTTTGAGCCAGGGTCTCACTATGTAGCCCAGGCTGAGCTCCAGCCTCAGCCTCCTGAGTGCTAGGATTACAGGTGTGTACCATCAGCCGAGCTCCATTTTTTACTTTTTTATTCCAGCCGTCCTTCTGGGTATTTTGGGTATCTCATTGTCATTTGAGATGTTTTAAGCTGTTTGTTTGTTTGTTTGTTTTTGGGGAACTGGGATTTGAACTCAGCTTTGCACTTTCAAAGCAGGTACTCTACCACTTGAGCCACACCTACAGTCCTTTTTGATCTGGTTATTT